CAAACCCGCCGAACTGTTAAGTCAAGAGGAGTCAAGCCCAGTGGACTCTGGGCTTGAAGAAAAGAATCTGTTGATGTGAAAGGTGGGAGGAAAAAATGTAGGACTGAAACGCAAGGGAAGAGACCTGTAAGGAGACTTGGCTCCTGTGAACTGTGGCAGGCAGATAGAATCACAGGGTTGGAAGGACATTGGAGGTCTCCTAGTCCAAGGCCTGTCCAGGGCAGGAATCCTCAGACCATCCCAGACCAGCAGCTACCCAACCTTTGCTTGAAACCCTCCAGTGATGGAGACCCCGTGAGTCCAGGAGGCAAGATGGTCCATTGCTTCATAGTTCTCACAGTCAGGAATTTCCTCCTTCCTTTGAGTTTGGATCTCCCTCTGTAAAACTTCCATCCACTGATTCTTACCCTATTCTTGGTCATTATGAAGAATAAATCTGTACCCCCTTCCCAAGGAGAGCCCTTCAAGGATTGGAGAAGTCTTCTATCATGTCTCCCTCCAGCCTTTTCTTCTTTAGGTTAAACAGACCCAAGTCTTCCTCACATAGATCATGTTTCTTCTCCATAATAAAACCATTTATCTCACCCACAGAGGTGGCTGAGGTATGTGTCTTGAAATCTGCAAGATGGCAGGCAGGGTGTTGTGACTGAAGCCCCTATCCCTTCAATACATACTCGTACCAAAGGGCAATGCTTTGAGCATGATGCCAGGCCTGCCATCTTGCAGATTTTGACCTCCTCCCCACTCCCCACAGATCACCTTGCTATCTGAGTCTATCCATGAAGTCTCTGAGCTTGGCTAGTTACAGAATTCTAGGCACGTTCCTGCAGAGGTAGATCTATTGTCATGCCGAGGCGTCAGCCTTCCCAGGAAACACGACCAGACAAGCTAGTTCTACTTTATTGTAGGGCTACATTAACAGAATCTTGCAAGTCTGAAAGTACAATTCTCCCCCCATCTCCTTTATACCCCAAGAAACTAGGGAGGGTCCCTTCTGAGCCTCCTTCTCTTCCCATTATGCAGCTGAGGGCTGGGCTCCCTCTTATCTGACCGTTCCCTTGGCAGCCTCTCTTCTCAAGGTCTTTGTCGCATACC